GAATTTTGTTTTCCCTTTCATGTGTCCCCCGTCGGACGGATTCCTTTTGTTTGTTTTATGTTTATTTTATACAAAAGTTTAGGTCTTTTATTTATCGATTGAGGCACTACGAAGTCTGCCGGGTCAGCTAGTTTAAAATAATGTAGACGAGTGGTGACCCTGCAGACTTGCTACGGTTGCTTTCGTCGCTTTGCTCGGTTTGCGAATAAACTATACGCCCGCTGTTTGTCCACTTCTGCTTCTGCCTTCAGAATTTTTTAACTAATAAACTTAGTTTTCATTAGTAAAATAACCCAAGTCAATTGAAAAATGAGTTTTTATTGTTTTTTCTTTCGATTTACCTGCTGCCTTTTTGCGTTTAAGCTTAACTCATTTGATTTCCAGTCATGGTTTGTAAGCAGTTTAAATTTTCGCTTCTGATCTAGCCTAAATTATAAAAGATAAAATTTGCCTTGTTGAGAAGACTAATCTAGCACAGTACCTTGTTTTATACATACATGCACTTTATCTGATCACATCTTAGTTTTTACTTTATTTCGATCATTTATGAAACTGTCTAAAGTAAATTATCTAAGAAAAAGACAGTGCGTAACTATTTCTCGATTACGCCATGATTGTTATTTTTAAACCCGCCATATACTGGATTACGTAATTAATACCAATTAAGTTAAATTTAAAGTTATATGCTTGTAGGTAGCTCAACAAAATAAAAAGACGTCACACAGATGACGTACACGCGCTTATTCTTTCACAAAAATGTTACTCTGTACGTTCATGTGACCTATTTATTGCTCCACTCCATAATGAAATGTTTATTTTTAATAAACATACCTAACCGTGAAATTTATCCGTGAGCAATTATTTCGCTAATTCAGATCTATAAGATTTAACTATCCTACCAACAACAAAAAAATCATTTGATGTATGCAGGTGTGCATGTAATTTTGTTAACAATAAAATGTCTACCAATTTTGAAAATATTGAGATAGAAATACTACATCAAAATACTTACTAGGTTTTTTGTTAATTTTCCCTTTAACGTTAGTAAAAAATTATAATTTATCCAGAGTATTATTACCTTACGGTTTGTTAGTTATTTTATAACGTTCTGTGTGGAGCGTAGGTAGCTGTAGCGCTAGATAGAAGCGGCCGCTACGCGATATTATTATAGGATGGACGTGTGTGAGTGTATGCACGTGCACAACGTGCTCGCACACTGGCGCGACGCTCTCCCCGCCCGCGCCTCTCCCCGGCGACCCTCGTCGCTCGACTCGCCTGTGCCGTATTTTACTGTGAGGCAATATCGTTGCCGTGCCACCCGTTCGTTCTTCACAATGCCATAGAAAGTCTCCGTTCGACTCGCCTCGCCGACCGAACTTTTCCTACCATCTCGAGCGAGAGGGGCCATTATTACACCGCTACATTAGATTCTTCGACATTTGTGAGTCTCATCATACTTGATACGTATACTGAGTTTCATTATAAATGTTATTTGAAATGAACAATAAGCACAAACATTTTCCCGTTCGAGTACAAACGTTTTCAAAATGCCGCACATTCGAGACTTGTGATAAAATAAACGTCAGACGTTTCCAAGTTTCTAGCGGAGAGAACGAGCGACGCGCTGCGCATCAGAAAAAGAACTTTACGACAAGATTAGAAAGAGCGTACGGAGCGGCAACGTCGCGAAGCCGCGTTCCAAAGGCGCGGAGCGGCAACGTCGGGCGCCAACGTCATTTACTAAATTTATTTTCATGAGCGCCAGCGCTGGCGACGACACCGCTACATACAGACTATTAGAGCCAACGGCACCGCGTGATATCTGCACGACTCTTCGAATTATCTAGTTCTGCATTATACAGAGACTGGTATTCTTGATAGTTTTCTAGCTCTAATCAACTAAATATGCTGGAATAAGCACACAATGGAGCGACACGTTTTCCATAGAGTGATAAAGGGTGACGCAAAACGATTATTTGCAGCGTTACGATGAGTAGTCGCTGAGTCAACGCAACGCCACGGAGCTCGCTGTCAAGTGACCGTCACGCTATACAATAATTTTACTGTGTAGTTATAAAGACTGACCTGGTACTTGGAGTTGCTTAAGAAATTTGGTTAGGTTCGTTAGGCTTATAAAAATATGAGACTATAGACTTTAACGTTAGCTAAAAAAACAGATTATGCATTTTATGTTTATAGTATAATCGGTGTTTTATAAAGCGTACATAATAGCACATGTAATCGTCAACTCTTAAGTACATACATAGAGTTCTTCGAAGACGCATGTGCCGGTTAATTGCAGCGCAGGTGCGGAGCCATCTGCCGCCTGCTGGACGTCGACTTTACTATTTTATTGTAAGGGCTTGCATTGCCGGACGACTTGACTGCTGTCCAGAACAATGTGCAATTAGGTACATTCCAAAAATCGTGTTTCTACTTTTAGTTTGCTTAATCTATCTACTCTTAATCTATGGGAAACTTAATCTAGTATAATTTAGGTGCAAGATCTTTCGAGGCCAATCAATTAATAGGTTACCTTTAAAACAATCACACATTGTCAATTGTACTAAGTCTTTCTGTAAATAAAACTTATTAATCTATACTAATATTATAAAGAGGAAAGATTTGTTTGTTTGTTTGTTTTGAATAGGCTCCGAAACTACTGGACCGATTTGAAAAATTCTTTTTCCATTAGAAGCCGACATTGTCCCTGATGAACATAGGATACTTTTTAAAAAAAAAAAAATTTTTTTGTTTTTTTATTTCAGTGTGTTTTAATGTTTCCGAAGCGAAGCGAGGGCGGGTCGCTAGTCACTAAATAAATTAAAATGGTTTTGTATTTGATAGTAAACGTAATTTGTAGTATAATGTCTAAAATTTTGGTCATACAAAACGCTTAAAGCTTTTTGCGCTGTTTTGTTCAAAGAATTCATAGGTAGCGGTGAAATCTCTTAACTGCATTAGGAATCACGAACGTATACCTGAGTTGGGTCCTGAACATAGGGGTTGCGCTCCGGGAGAGCTTTGTACCCCAAAAAAAAACTGAGAAGGGTCGGAAAGAACATAATAGAGATCCGACTTGGGTCTCACCCTACCAGGTACCTCATTTCGGCGCCCATATGCCAGCATCAGCAGTGCGATGCATTTTTTTTAATGCAAAGAAATGATAGAGTAGTAATTTTGTATCACACTGTTATTTGGTAAAGACAAATAAAAAGCTACAGTTAGTATCGATATACAGACTAGGTAGTAGAGACTTAGAAGGATAATGTAGAAAATATTTGGTATAGATGACGAAAGTACCAGCGAATTACGGTACTTCGAAAGCGCTGTACCGGCTTCGACCGAACATACCACACCCGAACCTGCTGTTTGCCGACACACCGTTTTCAGCCTTTTGACCGTTAATTTAATAACTATATTCGCATGGACGCAATTAATCCAAATGCATCGACTGATTGATCTTGATCCTTTGAAAATCATCGGTACTGGTTGGTAGTTGTAAAACATTATTTTAATTTTTACAGTAAGCAAACTTACTTATGACATATTCTTAAGGTTCTGCACTCTTATCTTACTCCATATGAACTTTAACTATGCAAAATCTGACAAATTTTTACATTGTTCGTCCTTCACGTAACGATTGATTGACGAATAGAACGAATTGAAATCTAAAACTGTTATTTAGTGAAAAAAAGAAAACCAGTTCATAGTTGTTGTCCCATTCTTTACTAATGAATCGAACAAGTGCGTGCCAGACAAGACAGAGTGAGGATTTTTTTTTAAATCGATATTAACCTACACAATTAAAGTTCAAAATATATCGTAAACACTTATAATTTCTTAATTTCAATACACGTTCGTAACACGATTTACAGCAATCTTCCAAAATTTAATAGTGCAAATATATCAGCAGTTTTTTTTTTCGCAATTTGGCTACGGGTTTCTAAAAAACATTCGATAGACAAACATTAATATAATGTTTCTTTAATGTATTTATTTTATTTTATTACGAAAAAAATATAGTATTCTCTTGTGTTATGAATACTGATTCCGATCGTAAATCGAACCTAGCTCTAGTACAGTAGTCAGCGCGACTAGCCACTAGACCAACTGATAAACTCTGAGCGAGACCATGAGTATTTTTTTTAATTTCAAATTTTCTTTACGTTGGATTTGTTAATAGAAAAAGCTTAACTATGTTATTTTCGCTTATTTTTTTATAGACTGAATATAAACTTCTTTAGTCTAAACTTAAGAACACAATAATGATTGAAGTTCAAAACAAATCGATCATTCATCAAAAGTCATTGTCATTTTTATATTACTAGCGATCTAATCAGAACAGGTTGAATTGTAAGCTTAAAGTACCGGAATCTTTAGTAGTTTTATTTCACGAAACTGAGACTTTAGTAGTGTTTGCCTAAAGTGATTGTACATAAACAAGCACTGTTTACAACAGTCGCGTGCTTTCGGAAACTGGTAATGTGTATGGGAAAAATTGTAGAGGAATAAGACAATTTTTTTTAATTTCAACATTTCCCTTTTTGTCCTTGTTAGTTTTTCATGTTAGTGTTTATTATTTATTTATATTACTTTCAAATTTGCCTACGTTAAAAGTTATTGATTTACATTATTTCTATAGACCCAATAAATAATGTCGAACTATTTACGATTCATAAAACAAACTTATAATATTACTAAAGGAAAATTTGATATGGTACGGGGTTATTCCACGAAGTACGAAAATAATTTTGATTGTGTGTAATTTGGATTGAATTGTCGAGTATGCAGTATATATATCAAGTAATGCACAATCACTCTATCCATTTTTAATTTGTATTATGATTCAAAGTTCCATTCTGTATACAACAGTAAATGGTGAATACTACCATTTAGATGTGGCATTTTATAATCTTACTCAACATTAATTTTGTTCCATTAATTGAGAATTACTTTTAAAAACTTGAAGTTAAAATGTTGTATTTATCCAATTGCAGGGCTCGGGCGGCGGTTGCGGCGCCAAAAGGCGTGCCGGCTCCCCGTGCGAGGGCGGCGGCAAAGTCGCGCGCTGGGAGGACTCCATAGCGCGACTCGAGGCCGTGGCCGCCGGCGCTGGCGGCGGAGACTGCTGGCGAACCGAGGAGGAGGAGAGGCGCGCATGTCGCCGGCGCTGGTGCGGCGGCTGGTGCGGAGCGCACGACACCATCCGTGCCGAGAACGGCAAGTCTTACTTGGAGTTGGGCGGTGCTGCCGCTCGCGCCTGCTGCGACGGTCGCGCGGCCGGTCGCTGTGCTTCTCGACGCTGCTACCGCGAGAGACGTTTCAAAATGATGAACTTGTGTGCTTTGAAGTTGGCAAGATTACGCCAAACCGCGGACCCTTCTTTGAGACGATCCGTGCTAGTGTGCAATACCCTGCGAGGCATCGAAAGGGAGATGGAGAGGGAGAGTGTGGAAGAAGCACCGTTCGAACCGGTCGGGTGCGCCGGAGGCAACGTGAGTCGGTGCGAGCTGCTGAGCGCGCGAGACCCGGCCGCCGGGCGAGCCACCCCGTTTCCCGCGCCAGCCGCCCCCGACCGAGACTCGGGCTACGGCGACGAGGAGCAGCGCACGATCGACTGGGGCTCGGTGCTGAGCCTGTCGTCGCGGTCGGCGCTGGACCCGCCCGAAGACGCGTGGCCCGACGACTGGGGCTGGAGCGAGGACAGCTTTGTGCGGCTACTGGTGCCGACGAGTTAGTGGTTGTCGCGCGGGCAGGAGTGGCCCGCGCCCCCCTGAGCGCCTGTGATACGCCGAGCTGAGGGCGGCGGAGCGGCCGGCCCTGTGCTGCAGGCGCCGAGCCGACGCGACGCACGCACGCACGCACTAGTTAGTATTATGTAATTGCAAAAGGGAAGGTGCTAGCTTCGGACGTGACGCTGGACTTGAAAGCGAGCCGAGTTATTTTTGATAGTTTTATTTCGTTTAAGTGATTCCGAACTGAAAACTAGTGACTTAACCGATGACGTTATTATCGTTTGATGAGACTCGGGTGTTTAAAATTTTGTTGAAATTATTATGTAATTAATTAGGTGAATAGTATATTTATTATTTCGTTGAAACAAAAACGTGATAGTTTGAAATTATTTCTGTCTTGGGATTTTCATTGAACAACGATGTTAACTTTAAAATAACTAATTTTAATCCGATTATGTTGAGACAGAAACTTAAATCGTCGGGGTGGACTCATCGGTGAAACTGCCCATAGCTCAGCTCATTTTAATATTGCCAATGATGAGGACACTTCGACGAATAAGATTTCAAATAAAAGACAAAAATACTAAAGTAAATGTGTGGACAATGTACCGAACGTTTGACAAAAGCGGCTCAATGTTGCGCGCTGCCGCTGCTCCAACTATGTAGATTTAAAACGACGAACAAATGTAAGCCAGTTAGTTCCTTGGTACTTAACTTGTGATGTACTTTCATAATCAGCTGTTCGTCTATGGCGGCATGTACTGTACGTCAATTAAAGAAGCCTTACAACCGCTACTATGAAAGTATGAGCATGTGAAATTTGGAATTTAAAAAAAAATCGCGACTAATTCGTGGCGAATCGTACTTAAACCCTCCTACTACTGTCGGAATTGAAATCTTAAATTGTGATCCGGTTGCCTTTCAATGAACTGTTTATTACATTTTAAGCTCGTAGACTAAGAAGCACTTTTTTATTGAAGCTTACGCCGTTCAGTCAAACGGTACATTCTCACGAAGCTATTTATTTATAGAACACTAAATAAACAGTTCCTAATAATTAATAAAACAAATATACAAAACGATAATTTATTTGCAAGTTTTTTACGAAACATTTATTGAAGGGCATCCGATTATTTTATTTTTAGAACAATAATAATTCAATAGCATTATTTCTCCGATTCATGATATGTCGACAATATAATTTTGTTAATGGACTGAAAATCTGTTGTTTCTGCTGTGGATAGAAAATTTTTAAGATACCAATTTAAAAATATATAAAAAAATATCAGAACGTGTTCTGGTTCTGTGATTCGTAATAACTGGTTGTCGGACGCGGAAACTATGAATGAATCGAGCACCACGCGGACCTGAGGTCCTGGACTCATGAAATAATTTAATAAATTTAATTCGACTGATAACGTATTAGTTGTTCGATTGTATATCGGAAGCTGCGGGCCGCTCTCCGCGAGGAAGCGGGACCGCATGGACCAAACATACCCTAGCTCGACATTACAATAGAACAAAGTACAAATTTCAATGATATTCATTAGTGCTCAGGCGCATGTTTGTCCACAGTCGTCAATTACTTAAATATTTGAATTGTGATTCGGTAGCTAATGAGAGAAAATTCTATGTTCTTAAATTAAGTGTACATAGTATATTATATGGAGATGGGCATTATGGCCGGGTGATCGCGGCCGTTTGTAAATATATTATGTAAATTAATAATTTTATCGATATCGATGTGGTATGTCGGGCGGCAGCTCTGTTCCGTTGGGCCCCGAAGCCGACCCGCACTTCGTCTTGTATAAGGTGACCTCTATTCTGTCCAATACACTCAACAAGTACACATTTTAAAAGATGCATTTTAATAATTAAGATGTCACAAAATTTAATCGCCAGTACAGACTAATAGAATACATCGAGGTTTAGCTATTAATTTTGGGTTCTAAACTCGCGATGCACTGATCAAGTGTATCGGCTCAATACGTTTTATTTCTCGTAGCATACTGTTTTGTTAAAGGTGTCCGCACGGTTGGTTGTGAAGATTTACTTAAGTAAGTTAGGGACTTTTCGGCGACTGTTCTCTGTCACGAATTTGTACTAAAAGTTTGTAGCGAAAAATGTTTATTTTGCGTTTTTGTCGTATTTTATATTCGACCTGAGAGATTGAGTCGGTTCGAAACTTTAAAATAATTTGTAAAAAGTTTTTCTATTTTGTTATTATTGTAATTTTTTTTTTTTTTTCGAATACAATACGACAAAAATGCAATTCGTCCCGTGTGCTTGCAAATATAATGTACAAAATACTTATCCTGTCATTTTCGTCGTTACACTCGCCTGACCCCCGAAATTATATTCATTTGCCGGAATAGGACTTGTCGAGATTAATAAGTCAACCTTTTTTCTAATTCAATAATCTTATTGTTGTAAATTTTTGTAAAAAATCGTTCGTTGAGCACTTGTTTGTATCTTTATTGAAATACTATTAAAGGCTTGCACACACTTCGTCCACTGTTCTCAAATTTGAATTCACTAAAAAGTTACGAGTCTTATTGGATCGTTGCACCAGTTGCAACGTGCGCGGTCCTTAAAACAAAAGTTATGATCTCGTTCAAATCGCGAAGACCACGCTGCGAGGCGCGGTCGCATTGTAAACTCAACCAGTCATTGTTAAGAGTTCGAATTTTTCGTCTAATTCCGTCTAATGATTCGAAGTCGCGCGACTTTCAAAGAAATTTTCGCGACCGCTCACACCCATACGTAACTCGGATCTTCGAATAAACGTGTCCTCATTAAGGTCTCTCATTGCCATTGGTTACCAAAAATGACAGGAGTTTATAATTAAAATTAATGTGAATATATGTATTGTCAAAGAATACTCTCGTTAGATGATTTTGAAATGGATTTTGGGCGAGCTCATAAAGCACATCGAATTGTTAATATGTTTCCGTTGAGGGATACGTTCGAAATCGTTTCTGTTATTGTCTAATGTACGATAATGTAATTGTAATATAATTTTAAGCCGTTGTGTCGAAAATAACAAGAACAGGAATAATTTTGTAAAACAATGGCACAAAGAATGAACATAAAATATTATATATATATATATATATTATAGAAACAGAAATGTGGCTATAAGAGCAATTTTTATAATAAATATTTACTGTTGAAGAAATTTAAAGACTTTTATTTAATACTAGCTGACCCGGCAGACTTCGTAGTGCCTCAAACGATATATAAAAGACACATCAAGGGGACACATCAAAGGAAAAACAAAATTGTTTTTTTTTATATAATTCCGAGCATTTTCATATTTTCTCACCTTTTAAACCTTCTCTGGACTTGCACAAATAATTCAAGACCAAAATTAGCCAAATTGTCCAGCCGTTCTCGAGTTTTAGCGGGACTAACGAACAGCAATTCATTTTTATATATATAGATTACGACTACATCGACTTGTGCCCACACGGGTTGGTACCATCGTCCTACCTCTTTGTATAACAAAACAAGCGCTGTGCAGAGCACAGTTTATTATCATTCCAATGCTTTTGTATTAAATAGATTTTTTTTTATTAAAAACCTTAACTGCACAACCTTTAGGCATTTAAATTAAAGTATTTTTAATTTCCGTTCAAAAACTAAACGGATCAAGGCATGCAAACAGAACCGAGAAGGAAGCCTTTTAGTTTCATAATAGACAAGGAGCAAACTATTTAAAATTAATAATGACGTCGTGACGCGTATGGGCCATACAAAGCTTGCACCAAAAGTCAACTTGTGGGAAAGACACAGCGTATCCCCTCTCGATATCCACCGAAAAATTAAAAATAAATTACACCACAAAAGTTTCGTAACCGCTTTTTATTATTATATAATACCTCTAAAATTTTATTAAACTCTTCAATAACTGGTGTTGAATGTGAGTGTCGCCATTTACCTTAAAACATTAGTTCTTAATTGTATTAATAGAACGGCTGTCCCGCCCTTCAAATAAGAAATTACCCGGGCTTATAAAATACGCCTAGCTTAACGTGAAGTGACCCGTGAGCTCGTTCGACTGTCTAAAACAATAAAAATAAACTTAAGCTCTTTCTGTTTAACTATTGACCGAGTCTTGAATTCTAGATCCACGAAAAGTTACATTATATTTACTATAATTATATTTGAATACGGAAAAATTAACAACAAAATAACGTCCACTTTCCATTCAGTTCACAAAAATTAAAACGACAGCCAAACAAAAACACCGCGTCCTTCCTTCAAAACTGTTTATAATAACTTTATTTTATAACGATGCAAGAAAATCGCTTCCCTCAAAGTAATAGAAACAGTAATTTTTATTTATTTATTGTTTAAATGGGTGGACGAGCTCACAGCACACCTGGTATTAAATGGTAACTGTAGCCCATAGACATCTACAACGTAATTACGCCACCCACCTTAAGATGTGAGTAGTTACAATGGCTGACCCACCCTTCAAACCGAAACGCATTACTGCTTCACGGCAGAAATAGGCAGGGTGGTGGTACTAACCCCTCCGCACTCACAAGAGGTCCTACCACCAGTAAATTAGTTCAAAAATTTCAGTAAGTATTACGCTGCACTTATCGTGTTCTGCGAGGATTTCTTCAGAACGCTCCTAAAACGATGGGTATACATGCATGCTGGTCTTAGTCATACATTTTGCATCGGTTATCTTCTATTTTTATTCCCGTTTTGATTCCTGGAACGGGTGGGTACCTTTACGTAGTAGGTTTTTGCCATTTTTTCCTCGCGATACGACCGAACGTGCGGCAATGGATGGAAGGTTTCGTACCTGTGTGCAGTGTCTACCTGGGTCGGGGTATTTTCAAAAGCGGCGCCTATTCAACATCTCGTTTGTTTGTATCTGTACAGTTCGTTCGGATTCCGTGAAGCGTTCTCTTGTGCTTCCACATGTCTCCTGACCTTCTGTGTTGTGGTAAAATAAGACTTACTCTACAAAACTATTTTCCAAATTACTTTTATATCAAAATGTACGATACGATTTTGATTGAAAACGATGATCGAAATTCGATCATTATCATCGACATCTCAAGACTTTGAATCTTTTTATTAGATGTTATGGCTTTTTTTTTTGCACATAGAACGAACTGTCTACAAAAACAAAAAAATTAAATCAACGAAAAAAAAAGTAAGTCGAATCACATCAGCAGAAAATATGGTACTAAGCTGTTTCGTATTTTCCTATTGAAATTTAAATGAGTATACATTTTTGCGCTTTATATAAGATGACAGGGAATTAACAAGGATTTTTAATTTATTTAAGTACATTCTTCTATGAAAACTCAAATGGACTGGTTTTAAAAGTATCATGAATATCAACATGTAGTTTTGACGGTGCGTTATGACAACTCCCATAGACACAATACAATGAGTTTCTGACTGGATCTTCTCAGTAGGTCGCTCTTGTTACAGCTAGCGTTAGCAATCTCTTCAACGCTGATCCCCGTGAGCTCACCTACCATGTGAATCTGGAATAATCCTTCGAGACCACTACCGAATAGTTAGGGAAAAAAAGGACAAATTTTACCTGAAAGCGGTTCCGCAGACATCGCATTCATGTGGCTTTTCTCCCGTGTGTATCAGAGTGTGCACAGTTCTTGCATAAGGTCTTCTGAACGCTGCTCCGCATATGTCGCAACGGTACGGCCTACCAAAGATGTTTGATGAGACACGACGTCATGGACTTAAGGACAAGCCATTCGGTATACTCGTCAAATACCAGAGATACCATTTTTTTTTGTTTTTTATTGCTTAGATGGATGGACGAGCTCACAGCTCACCTGGTGTTAAGTGGTTACTGGAGCCCATAGACATCTACAACGTAAATGTGCCACCCACCTAGAGATATAAGTTCTAAGGTCTCAGTATAGTTACAACGGCTACCCCACCCTTCGAACCGAAACGCATTACTGCTTCACGACGGAAATAGGCGGGGTGGTGGTACCTACCCGTGCAGACTCACAGGAGGTCCTACCACCAGTGATTACGCAAATTATATTTGGTTTTGGATTTGGTTTTTATTACACGATGTTATTCCTTCACCGTGGAAGTCAATCGTGAACATTTGTTGAGTAAGTATTTCATTAGAAAAATTGGTACCCGCCTGCGGGATTCGAACACCGGTGCATCGCTACATACGAATGCACCGGACGTCTTATCCTTTAGGCCACGACGACCAATTTCTAAGGAACTGCATACCTAACATGAATAAACGACTTTAAGGATAGAGGAAGTTTTAACAAAGTGCAAAGACGTATAACGGCTCGATAACGCCTGTTTGTGCAACGAATCAGACATGCATTCTGGTTTGAAGACGTTGATGGCTGTTAGTATTGTTTTTTTTTTATGATTGAGGGTTTACTGGTGGCCTGGAGGCTTTTCCAGTTTCACAAGGACAGGTACGCGAGCAAGGGCTCAACTAGAAGGGGCGGGATTTGCTAACAGCTACCCGAACGTTTCCAAGAGAGACCTAAGAACTTAAGAGTAGCTGCTTCGCGAATGAATCTACTACCGGATCGGAATCGCGACCCGCTGAGAAGATCCGGCGAGAAACTCAACGGGCTGATGCTTAGGTTAGGTTGCACGTCGACCTCTTTTTGCCGAGTTCGACGAGTACGGTTACCGGGCGCTCTATTCCTAGCGTTAGAGCATAAGGAGTCTAATGCAAGAGTTATTGGATCTGATGGGTTCGTAAGGACGTGAAGTTAGTATTGTTTAGCAGCTATCCAACTGAGACTTCCACTTGTATAGGGTGGCCGCATTCACGTAGAGATTGTCTATGGACGTCAATACCAACTTAACTTGCGATTGGGTGAGAGCTCATCTATCTGGAGAAAACAAAATCAGTCAGAACAGCATAACACGAAATAAGAACATTCATTTCGCTAAGCTCATGTTTAAAATGTACACAACACACATCAGAGTGGAATATAAAAATATAAATACGCAAGATAATACGGTATAAAGTTGTGTAAAATGTATATTTTCTCGAAGAACTATGCTAGCCGTGACACGTACCGTGTCAATAACCTAGCCGGGAGGTGACATCATTCGATCACTAGACATAATATGCATATTATATACATACATATGAAGTCTCAACTTTAGAACTTTGTTCTTAGAGTTTTTCCTATTGGTGGATGAGCAATGGAGCTCGTAGATGTGTGAAGTTATCGTAGCCTTGCAATGTGCAATCCGTATATTTATGACGGCTGCAACGGCCTTCAAAGTGGACGGTATAACCGCTTTACGATAGAAGACAGGTTTGAGCCCCGTGAGCTCACCTACTAGTTAAGGCTACGCTGAAATAGCCTCTCAAGGCTCTCAGCTTAGGTAGGAAAAAAAAGTTAGAAATAGGCGTGCTAGTTGACTACCTCTATATTCGCTACTTCGAAGCCCGTTTTCGTATTTTAAAAATAGTTAAAAATACTTTAAAATCTAAGGTTGGGTAATTCTCACCACAAAACGCATGTGTCACTAACACATATACAGGCTCAAAATTTGCCGCACTACCAGCACGCAAGTGCGTTAATAACTTAGTAATAAGATGGTAATAAAAAGGGTTTAATGTACTACTTCTTTTAAGGAAGGGAGTCCTGAGTAGTAAAGAGGCATTGTGATGCTAACGAGCTACTGAGACCGAAAACTACAAAGAATTTTTTTTATCGCTTCGATGGGTGGACGTGCTCACGGCCCACCTGCTGTTAAGACCTGACTCAATAGACATCTACAACATCATTGCCGCCACCCACCTTGAAAGATGAGATCTAAAGCCTCAGTTTTTACAGTACAGATGATGTGAAAGTTGTTGTAGAAGTTCGATTTTCTATCTGTATGTTCTGTAGTATCGGCATATGATTAATGATGCTCAAAAATGGTAAAAAGTTTTTATGTTAATTTAATGTTTTTAAATGTTATGCTAATATTGTCTATTATGATTTATTTATATTGTATGTATTGATTCTTTACTATTGTATACCGGTGATAGTTGCAAGTGGCTGTTTAGACCCTTCATACTTTATATCCAGAACAACAACCTCAAATGGAAATGGCGGGAACGCAAAACTGTTCGAAATATATCTTATGGACAACATTATCTGCTCCCTCTCTTTGCCTTTTCATCTCATAACATTCGTTGTTTCTTCTTCTCATATATTTTAACGTAAGAGGCCCATAAAAGGCGATAGCCGATTTTGATGGCTTGGCAGAAAAAGCAACCAGATCAATGTTACCAAATATCGCCCTACCAACAATAATACGTGGATAATACATAATTTCTAGTTGGCTGCCATTGTATGCGATTGAACCTTATACTCCTTCAAATAGTTCGGTAAGCGCAAATACCTTAGATGAGAATAACCTTGGAAACTTGGAAATTAACACGTCACGGCTATGAATTTGTAGACTTGACTAAATTGGTCGGGCTCGCACTGCAAAGGGAAGATCTTCCATGGAGGCTGGTGTTCCTCGGTAGTCCGACAACAGCCGATTAGAGCTTTTGTACATATATTGTATTTGTAAGATTTATAGCATTTATCATTAGCGCGATTACTGTTTTGTCGGATTTCTTCAATAAAATTCTATAAATATCAAACTACATGGGTATTCTATTCTTTAGCTTCTGGTACTTTCTCTGCACCGTTCATACACGACTTAAGAGTTATATTGTATTTCTGGATCTCGCGGATGTCAAGCAAGCCGATTTGAACCTTAAAACAAATCTATTAAGGATCCTATGCAAAACCTACCTAGTGCAGTGAAAACAGAAGAATAAGAAGCTTCTGAAAGGGTTAAAGAAATGTACTAGTGAACTCCAAAATCTGAGTTTGTTTATTTGAGATACTTTTCGGCTCGAAGTCGTTGTAAGACCCGCGTCGAAATTAATCGATTCGTATACACGTAACCGGTTCATGAACTGTACTGTGTGGAGCCTCAAATTATACAGAGGTCAACCAGTGTATAGTCTGAAACACGGTTAACATTTTGTGTTTAATTACTTATAGGAAATTCAGTAAGTTATAGACACAATCTAGCCATAGATAAATACTATTAAATGACTAAAAAAATGAGGCTCCAATCACATGTCATGAATTAAGTACACGTAATCGCATTCACATCGTCTGAATGTCTGGGCCGTGAGGACTTAGATTCATCGCTACACCCAAAAATTTATGTATTTATTTTGACTCAATGACAATAACGATGATTGGACTTAAAATATAAAGAACAACCATTTTAAGGACCAATATTTTAAATTGAACACGACTAGAATCAGGAACAAATGTAGCGTGTGGTATTAACAATGCTATTAGTTTAAATGATGTTGATTTTTAAACGTCTTGTTCATCTGCTCGTGTAAGCGGATAAATTAAGCTACATTGTTACATTATGTAATTGATTTGTTTATAACAACACGCAATCCACGTACAGACGGATTGGTCAATTAATTGGTGGTATCAAATTATCAACGCAACTACAAACACAATTAATGTCACGTTTGGGAATCATTTCACGTTATTGAGTGGGTAACACACGCGTAAACACCGAGTCCGATCGTCACTGGGTCCTGCAGTTTTCATTATTTTGACAACAGTAATATTTTATTTATGCCGTTCGTGTATTAGAGATGTAGGTACTTTTTACAGTTTTATGCCTTAGCTGTCTAGCCAGGAAGACTGACTGCGACGGATTTTGGATTAAATTCCTCGTTAGACACGGCATTTTTGCTAAAGATGTTCGTCAATCCATGTGTATGTGTACATTTCTCGGCAGATTTAATTCTCTCACTAAACACTATAAGAATATTCCAGAAATCGGTACACCACCATTTTTGTTCCTCTACCTTATCATTCTGGTACTCTAATGGATATTCTAGTTACTCACAGACTAGTAGGTGAGCTGATGGGCTCAATCTGAGAAAGTTTGCCAGCACCGGCCCTAACAAGAGCAGTGCTTCACTAAACCTACCTTTTTTTTTTTCTACTTATGCTGATAGCCTTGAGAGGCTATTTCAGCTTCACCCTAACGTGTAGGTGAGTTCATGGGGCTCAAACCGGAGTGTTGCTAACACTGGCCCTAGCAAGAGCAGTGCTTCGCAGAATCTACCACCGGATCGGAAACGCAACCCACTGAGAAGATCCGGCGAGAAACTCAGTGGGCTGTAATCGCGTCATAAATAAAGTTTTGTTTAGAATTTTGCAAGAAGTGTCGTATAAAAAATGGCTTTTTAATTGTTTACGCATTTCAAGACCTCTCCGTCGCTTCCATCCCTAAGGATTACACCCCGATAGAGTCGTTTAGAAAACAATAGCAATGTTTTTTAAACTGCAATGTAAAACGATTGAAAAACAGGTGAGACGCGGGGTCAACGTTCTCATGTGACGCTAGTGTTGCCTTTAGATAAAAAAAGATAAACAAGAAAAAATAAAAACGACAGGTAGTGTTCAAGCTACTATTTCTCGAATAACCCGAGAATTTCGCGACACTATTTAAAATACGTAAACTCTATTTCAAATTGTTTTAATTTTTTCCTATTTTGCCATATATTTCGTGGATTCTACTTAAAAACTTAAAACTTGTTATTATAGCATAAAATCATCTTAAAATGATTATCAAAATTAAGCGACATTTTAAATCCTGCAAAACATAGGCCGGCGAAGTCGTTGTGGCCTGAAGGATAAGAAGACATCCGGCTCATTCGCATCAAGCATGTTGATGTTCGAATCCCGCAACCAGATACCATTTTTTCTAATGAATTACGTACTTATATTTGTTCTTTTTTATTTTTCTCTACCTATTCGTTGGTAGCCTATTCAGACTAACTTTTATTTAAGGATGATTTCCGCTATGAAGGAATAATATCATGTAATAAAAAACAAAACACATAATAACTTCTAATTTGCGTGAACACTGGTAGGTAGATAGTCCATTTATACCTGTTTTTGAGGCCAAGCATAAGGTTTGAAGGGTGGATCAGTAACTACTATATAACTGAGACTTAAAACTCATGTTCCAAATTGGATGACGGCGATTACTTTGTTGATATTTATGAGCTTCGGTAATCCCATTACACCAGATGAGCCGTGATGGCTCATTCACTCGCTCAAGAAATGAAAACGAAACTTAACAGTTCGCACAGCGTACATATATGTACATGTCTCCTTATATATCTGAAGGGTATTCTAACCGGAGCTTAATACTAAGATACTGATGGTAGGACTTGTTGTGAGTCCGCGCGGGTAGGTACCACCACCCTGCCTATTTCTGCCGTGAAGCAGTAATGCGTTTCGGTTTGAAGGGTGGGGCAGCCGTTGTAACTATACTTGAGACCTTAGAACTTGTATCTCAAGGTGGGTGGCGCATTTACGTTGTGGATGTCTATGGGCTCCAGTAACCACTTAACACCAGGTGGGCTGTGAGCTCGTCTACCCATCTAAGCAATAAAAAAAAAAAAAAAAGATACTCGCAGAATGTTATCGTACACTGCTTCTGCTATTAAGATGAGAGGATCTGTCTTAGAGCTGTTGGCTGTGGCCCGCAATACGAATACCTTTTATAAAAGGTTGGGTACGTAATGTTGGTTGGTTGGGTAAACAGTTTGGGTATACCCAAAAATGAAACTAAAATTTAACAGCTAATTAAACTGCAATAGTTTCAAAAATGTTTGGTTTCCAACGAAAATCCTTATAGAGCTATAATTGTACTTAAGCTACAGCGGTATCACGCATACATGGTAGGGGAGAGTTCAAAGCTTCAAGACATGCGTCCACATTCATACCGCTTCATAAAACCGCCAATTACCACATTCATCTAAAATGTTACTATTAAGTCATTTTATACAATAATGTATGATATAGTCTTTTAAGAATGAGCCTTTGTTGCTTTCTAGGTATTCTAGTAAGTATTAAAGTAAGTAGGGGTTATTCTAGATTCACCGAGCTAGTAAATGAGCTTACGAGGCTCAAACCGGGAATGTTGCTAACACTGGCCCTAGCAAAAGCAGTGTTTCGCAGAATCTACCACCGGATCGGAAACGCGACCCACTGAGAAGATCCAGTGAGAAATTCAGTGGGCTGGGTCCATGGGTTAATTTACTCGTCGAGTGGTGACCGGCGCTTGAGGTACCTAATATCACCGTTAATGGATCTGGAGGATCTGTAATGCTGTGTTTAGGGATCGTATTGCTACAAAGGAATACATTGAAGACCTTTGATCGGTGTGGATGCGTGCGTGTTCACGCAACCGTGCCGCGGCGGTGAACGTCTTGTGGCAGGCGGCGCACGCGAAGGGACGCTCCCCGGTGTGCGTCCGACGGTGATCGTCGCGCTCCACCTGCCACCGACACCATTCCGCGTACGTTATAACAACGAAAACACACTGGGAACTCTTCGGGTCGTGCACTCATTTAACTTTTTGCCTCTATAATGAAACTAAGGGGAATATTTGTGTTTTTTTAAGCTGAGAGCCTTGAGAGGCTATTTCAGCGTAACCTTAACTAGTAGGCGAGCTCACGGGGCTCAAACCTGACGACGTTGCTAACACGAACCCTAGCAAGAGCCGTGCTTCGCACAATCTACCACCGGTACGGAAACCGCGACCCACTGAGAAGATCCGGCGAGAAACTCAGTGGGCTGTGTCTGAGGGTTAATTTACTCGTCGAGCCCTTCGTCGCAAGCGACAGGTTCGACGAGAACGATGACCGGTGAATATTTGTAGGAACTGTTCATGTCTATGTTTATTAGAATTGGTAATTAAAAACATTGGATTTGACGGCTAGACAGCAAATGTACCATTGCGGTGGACAGATCTGATTGAGGTTTTTTTTATGGTTGTAGGATTACCTACTGGTGACTCTGAGGCCTTTCCAGTTGCACCAGTACAGGGGGAATTGATGATTCATTGGGAGTGCAATGTTTAAGAATGTTCTCGCAGTGCTATTTACAGCGTAAGGGATCAATCACTACAATGTTCCGCTCTGTCAAGAGTAAGGCGTAAAGATATCATGTTAACGTGAGCTTAAAATGTAATAGACAATCTGAATGGAATAGGCATTTGATTAATTCCAGTAGCATCTCAGAGAATGGTGATAAACGATTAGGCATGTGCACCTGGTCTTATTGCCGTGTCCCGGTGATCAACTTCCATTAAGTGAGCCACAAAAAACTGGTTGAGGTACCAGTGAAGTAACGGTACAATTTACATAACGGTAGGGCAGTTCAGACTTACCTTTACTTTGAAAGCTTTCGGGCAAAGATCGCAGGGGTAGGGTCGTTCTCCAGTGTGCATCCTCATGTGTATAGCGAGATGACCGGACTGATTGAAGCGACGTCCGCAAACTCGACAGGGGTAGCCCTGAACAAGAACGACATAACCTAATAATTATGTGCAAGGTGATTTTATTCATTTGGGAAGCTTAGCCGCGTAAGCGTTTTTCACAACAGACGGTCACGAGTTACGGGACCCCTGATGTTTTAAGTGGTTACCAGTGCTCATAGAAAACGCATTTATAATTTATTATGGTATGAACTTTCACTGTGAAAGTAATTCTTGGATACGCATTAGGTATCTGCGTATTTTCAATGAAAAATTGGCACCTGCCTGCCGGATTTAATCCCCAGCATAGTTGCATCAATCAACACGAATACGGTGTCTTATCCTAATAACATAACTTTTTTATTACATTACTTATGGTGTGGTGGGCGTGGTGTGAGTCCGCGCGGGTAGTTACGAGTACTACCACTCTGCCTATTACTGTCATGAAGCAGTAATGCGTTTCGGTTTGAATGGTTGAGCCTCAGAACTCATATCTCAAGATGGGTGGCGGCATTTACGTTGCTGATGTCTATGGGCTCCGATAACTATTTAACACCAGGTGAGCTCATCAACCCATCTAGACATTAGCAAATAAAAATAAAATCACGACTAAACATCCTATACCTACATAGAATATTGAAATCGTTTCTCTCGTTAATTCCCAAGATCAAAGGACACGGACAATAATGATTTGAGGTAAAACGCCGTAATCTGGCGGTCGTCTGTGGACTTGTGTCCTTTAGGCGGGAGCACCCCAAAACATTAATACGTTTACATGGAAATTATTCGGATTGATAATCTGAAAATAATTCACCGTGTTCTTCAGGATGTTTCAGTGAATACCTAATAATTATACCTATGAATTTGCCTATGGATGCTTTTTGATTGACAGAAATAAAGAAAAATAGACTAGGTTTATGTATAATAAACGCCAATTTCGAAGGTAAAGACAAACTTAGATAATATATTATTATGTATTATATATAAGTAGACAAATACATTTAAAAACAACAGCTAAGTTCCATTTGTTTGTCGAACGATTAATTATTTTTATTAAGTATATTTTTTAAGTATTTATAGCTTTCGTGTTATCAGTAAAATTTCTGAGATTTTTAGTCTTTTTGTTTTCAAAACAATACCGAAAATGTAGATAGTTCACAAACGAATCGAAATCTTGGGATATCAGTGTATACGGTCGAAATTCGATCATAAACGAGCACTACTTGTTTTTTAATTTTTAAATTAAGCGTGAACCAAAATAATTTAACTTAAGTTTAAGTCCTAAATGTTGATTTTAAATAATAGTCCAGATAATAATAGTTTACATAATGATTGTGTATACATCGTTCAAGATCAGGGCTTCTAAAACCGAAAGGGAAATTGAGATAAACTCATATAAGCGTGCATTTGCTAAGTTAGATGTAAGTGTGAAGTTTTTGTAAATGTACACTCGAATTAAACCTGAAATTTAAGTGGAGATAGCTCGCGTCACTCAGAATTGTGGCGTTGGCACGTATTTTATTTTAATTATGTGGTGCAAAAACATTTAGTAAGAAAAAAATAAAGATCGGTAAACATTATCATGTCAATGACCAGAACTGTAACTTAGATTTTAGAAGCTGTGCAAATAATTACCCGACACTAAGATCTTGAGGATCTTTTGTGTTCAAAATCAACACCAATACAAGCTTCCGTTAGAATTGAATATGCAATTTCGAAAAGGGCACATCACTGAAAATGTAAAATGTTCAGGAAATGAAAAAAACTGATTATTTTTCTAAAGCAGTGTACAATTTAAAATATTAAATTTTGAGATATATTTTAGTGTTAATTAGCAATTGAAAATTACTGGAATTACTATAAAATGGGTGTAGGTAAGCCTCAAAACTACATGTATATGAAAAAAACGTATTTGACAAAATATGCGACATGTGCCCTTTTCGAAATTGCATATTCAATTAGGTTAGGAATAGTTAGGTTTTTTTAATATTTACAGGCTTAGAAACTTTGTGCATCTTCTTGTGAGTGTGAAGCGCGCACATACTTCCGAGCACCTTGTCGCACTCATCACAAACGTAAGCCAGCAGGGGTGCTCCTTCGGGGCGATCTTCACCCCGCTTGTGGCGGTAAAGCTCTCTGGAAAATAGGTAGAAATCTGGGTTCGCCTTTTTACCGGAACGCAGAACTACTTCTCGGCAGAAATAGGCAGGAGTAATACCCGGCGATTTTAAAATGTATTTGGGTGTACCCAACAGTCTATTTATTAGCCGCGGCAATATTCACTCGATAACTAGACACAATAATTGGTGTAAAAATAAGAATGTAAAAATAAACAAAAAAACTACGAAATAGACAAAAATAAACAACACATAAACCATTTAGGAAAAATTTCTTAAAAATTAATACGGATTTTATGTTTCAAAAGATACAACAAAATTTTGTTTTAACTACTCACTGCGTCTTACAGCTAGCGACATCTAGCGAAATCTATTCAAAGCTTATAGTTCCACTAAGTACAATCTAGATATTAATATATCTACCGATTCTGCAGTGGGTACATTGTAGGCTACCAATGAATAATTCACGGCTCAAACTTTTATTCGCTACAAGGAATCGGTTGTTTTATGGTACCTAGCAGTTGTAAAGAGTTGATTACATGAACCGCAGTTCCACATCTTAGTGTTGCCAGCGCTCGTATAGTTCTGTTTTCTGGTTCTTGGAGGAAAGTTCTTGCGACAGTCCAACGAATGAATTTTAAGGTCTTCGTTAGTGTAATATTGTTTGTCGCAAATGTCGCAAGAAAAAGTCGCTTCGGGACTTACAGAGAACTGTAAATAAGCGTATTTCACAATGTTTTTCTCTACCTATTCGCTGTTAGACTAAGGGGCTTTTCTAGCTACACTTCTCACGGATTCAACCTGAGAGAATTTGCTAACACTAGCCCTAACAAGAGCAGTGCTTCGTATAATCTACCACCGGCCATAGCCTACCATCTCAAGATGAGTGGCGCATTAACGTTGTAGATGTCTATGGGCTCCAGTAACCACTTAACACCAGGCGGGCTGTGAGCTCGTCCACTAATCTAAACAATAAAAAAAAGGGCTAGTTCGCTCATCGAGATCTTCGTAATGATCAACGATTTCGACGAGGACGGTAAAAGTTGCTTGAAGAGTCTAAAAGCATCCAGAGTGGATCCGGGAGATCCAACAAAACATGTTTCGGGCGACGGCGACTTTACTTTACCCCGTGTCGCCTGGGTTGAATCGAATGTGACAAAATTTATTATAACCTTTTTTTTCGCATCTCTCACGAACTAAGTACATACTAGGTACGAGTATAAAGCATTTGAAATTTTCGTTTTGGGTTATTTTCATCGAAAGTTGTTTTTGATATTACAGCGGTTGTTCATTGAAAGAAATGATAGATAATTCGCGCGCGGCTTAAAAAGACAAATGAATTTTAAAGTAGGTAACTCTATAAAACCGATACATTTATTACAGAGACTTAATAAATATGAAATACGAACAATATAAATAAACACGGTGATGTTAATTTATTAAATGTAGGCTACAGGAACTTTTGATTATTTCTATCGTTTTTGAAGAAGACGTCCACGACCCTCAGACATGAGGAATGCGAGAATTAATACAAAAGACAAGCGGTGTACCTTGTTGCACCATGTTTTTAACAAAATATTGTCTTACGTTTTGTTGTTTTGTTAATTCTTCAATGTAGCAGTTTTGGCGGTGTTTATCTAGAGCATCGCAGTCAGCAAAGAGGCCATTGCAAACGTCACAGACGTACATCGTGGTCAATTTTCGTGATGCAACCTTACTTACACCATCATAATCAAGACAACATAATTGTTCTGAAATAAATATTTGCAGGGAATGTTTTGTGAAGTTTAAATTGTAATTAAACTGGTGGTAGGACGTCTTGTGAGTCCGCGCGGGTAGGTAACACCACCCTGTCTATTTCTGCCGTGAAGCAGAAATGCGTTTCGGTTTGAAGGGCGGGGCAGCCGTTGTAACTATGCTTGAGACCTTAGAACTTATATCTCAAGATGGGTGGCGCATTTACGTTGTAGATGTCTTTGGGCTCCAGTGACCACTTAACACCAGGTGGGCTGTGAGCTCGTCTATCCATCTAAGCAATAAAAAAAGATGTGTAGTGTCGTGGGACACCGGATAGGAACGAAGTTCCTTATTATAAAAATATTAATTTTAAGTTCTATTCTAGGTATAATTACATATTTTTTACGAACATAGTTTGTGAGACGGATAGTAGCTTAGACTGCATTCTTTCTCGAAAAAATAATGTTTTGACTATATAAAAATCTTTTCTTTAAAAAAATTACGGCTTGAAGAAAATTATAAAATAATAAAATAGCATATACTAAATAAAAAATAACAAATAGTTAAAATAACATAAACATCTTTTAAAATTCATATTGTATTTTAAATAATGCACGTGCGTATTTAGCACAATTATTATTAGTGTAGGGAGCTAGATTCAGTTATGGTTTATTTTCTATTAAATATGTTTTACGTCTATATCTATATTATCTTTAACTAACGTTAATCATGCTAACTCTGACCTAGCGAATTGAAAAGCGTTACGATTTAAAAGATACATTTTGATGTTAAATCGATTAAGAAAAAATCGTAATTACAAAACAATTCTATTTTTACAAGCATTTATAAGTAGCTCACTAATATGTATAAAAGTCATTTTAGTGTCAACATCAAATGTTGTTTCACTAGACTAGACTAGATTTCAAATATTTTGAAAATATAATGGAATATTATCATAGACGAAGAAGAAAACGTGGTAGACGAAGTAGTAAAGGATAGTAAGTTATCTAAACATTCGTTTTATTAAATATAACAAACTATTTGCTTTTTTAAATGATGGACATAGAGTTTATCGATTCTTTCAGTGGTTTCTCACCGTTTGGCTCCTTTTCTAAGATTGTTGATAAAACACGTTCACAGATTCGGCAAACAAGCCACTCAGCTTCAAAATCAAAGTCGTTTGTACCTGGAATGTAATTATAGGCTCATAAACTATATCTAAAGATAGCCTTAGACTAATGTTAAGGTAGTATCACCTTTCTTCGTGGCTTCAGTAGGATGCTCGAGAATACCAGTATCAGTCTGTGAAGAAGCATGCAACAAAATAGTGTGATCAAGCAAGTCACTTTCAGTTGTAAAAATTTCATGACAAATCACACATGAGTGTAAAGCCAGCACATCGGGTCCATTCTGTTCATCCTAAAAAATCAGCCATATAATAATAAAATTTAACTCAGATATTACTTTTTATATATTTTTGTCTTACTCTATTTGCTTCTGCAGAACCTTTAGCTGGTAAAAGAAATTGGTTAACAGTGTTTTCGTCAAGTAAAGTTGATTCGAAATTAAATAAATTATCATCTTGGACAACATAACATTCTGTAGCTTGTTCCATTAAATTTTCTGATTCTCGGACCAATATACTTTCAACGTTAAAGTATTGCCCGCTAACATTCGATTCTAAAGTTAGTTGATTATCTGTGGTATCGATAGATGGCACTTCTAAGGTTTTAGTCTCGTTATTGCCACTAAATAAGAGACTCTGGGTCTCATAAACTTCAGCTAGTTCTTTATAGGGATAGTCCGGTGGATCGAACATCATATTTAATCTGCAACAATATTGAATTAAAAAGTTTATTCAAATGGAATTGACTTTTTGGCGGGAACGCGAGGTGTTAAGTTGTGCGATTTGTTTTATTTTGTCTATTTAGTGTTTCTTCAGGTTTAAATGTGTAATAACGGTGGTTTATTAACTGTTTAGTATCTGTGAAAGTGCACAAATGTGGGAAATTTAAACAAAGCCGTAGGACGTCTCGGGATCCTCCAAAAAGTCCACTGAAAAAATCTCAGTAAACGACCACCATTTTATATTTCATCCCATATCATCTCATCTCACTTCATTTAATTTCATCCCAGTTGATTAATGTCTCAAATTCTTCATTTCATTTCACTCTATATTATCATTTTTCATAAAAATATCCCATATCATATCATCTCACCCCATTTCAATTCATTTCATTTCATTTCATGCCATGCCATGCCATGTTTCATATTAATCATCTTCATTTTATTTCATAATATCATATTTCATAAAAAAAAATATAAATAAAAGATTAGGCTGTATGGTGTGATACTTTTGCCGTTCCAATTGGAAAAATAAAGCTACTACTACTCAAATGGAATTTTTTGATCATGTCACCATGTAGTATGTAGAGTTCAAGAATGCAAAGGAATAATATTTTTACGCCTGCTCCAAGTCTGCTTAAATATTATTTCTTTCAGTGTCTTTCATTACAAACAAAAATTGAAAATAACGTAAAATTGATGGATTAATATTTAAAAAAATGGACCAATCCAATAAATCAATGCTAATTATTCATTAATATTTAATTTTAGAGAAATGATATTTTTTCAATTTTCCTTGCATTTAATTGCGTTAAAACCTATATTAAACTTAAATGAATCTCAAAGAATTATGTTTCCAAATAAGTCAGAACTATAAAAATTCCATGTTCAAACAGTGGGTAATTTCTCCTGAAATTACACATTTCAAATTTAATGGGTATTTTAATTAATTAAAGAATAAGGGTAAAGACTTTTAATCACAATAAGCAATCGTTAGCTAGTACTTAAATCACAAAATTTCGTTTTAATTATCTGAATTTGTCTATTTCATCTGTCTGGTATCACTATTAATGTCACAACAAATGCCCCATTGCCAAAAACAATAGTACTTGTTTTGATGACATTTGGCACAATAATAATTGCTTTTAAATAGCTACAAGATGAAGACTGAAACCCCACAGCCTACGGATAAACTTAAAATACCATTACCGACACTATCACAGATTAACGCGGATAGAATAACACAGGTAAATTAGGTTATGTTACAATTTCAAAACATTGTTAAGTTAAAGTAAATTACATTTAATCTCAATAACTTATAACTAAAAGCTGAAGCAAATGATACTTTCGAATCATATTACACTTAATAATGTTCATAAAATTTTAATAGATTACAAATCATCTCTGTTGAGTAACCTCAAAAAGTGTTTCAAAATAAATCTCAAATATCTAATTTTAGTTAAAATTGCCGGTAAACATTGGTTTTCTTAATAAAGAACCGAAATTAGTTGTCTTATTTTTAAATAAAAATTTACCAATACATTCTGCAAACTAAACACAAATTGTTAACAAAACACTCAGTTTCACATATTTGCAATATACCGTAAATGAGCTTTAATCCGAAAACGTAGTTAATAAATAATCTAAAATTTTGCGTTATTACATCCCCATTTGTTTTCTGACAAGTGCAAAGCTTATTTTTTCTGGCTTGCTGAGTAGTTAGAACTTTGATGTGTAGGAAGGACAGCATTAATCTGATGTCATTGAGGCTGACTTGTCTTAAGATGGATATTAATATTGTGACATGTCTATGGACTTTAGTTACCCCCAAAAGTAGTTTCCTAGCATGCTCCGTTATCTACAAAGAAAAACTGATACAAAAGTAACATAGAGTAACAATGTTAACTAAAAAGATTAACACAAGTTGAAGCAACAAGCAAGCTTTCTGCTTATGATTATCGCCTCAAGCCTTGATGCAACATTCACTTTTTTAATTTCAAATTTGAAGAATTAAGACATATTCTTACAGAGGCTCATTTCTCTGCCCTTAGATAATAAGAACTTATAATAATATATAATATAAAAATCTGTCTTTAATTTTTATATTTCGTCTAATAATATTACCTGAGTGTGTATCTTAATGACAAATAAAAAATGTGTAAATGTAAAAATGTATAAATTTGCAATTTGAAAAGCAACACTACAAACTTACTACCAAAACAGTGGGAAACTTGACTCCGATTTTAAGTAACAGTTTTTCCACTATAGGCATTTCTTGTACAATCCATAAATTGTCATTTATAAAAAATAATATTAATAAATAAACATGAGATTTTTCAAAACTGAGTATTCATATTCTGTTGTTAGTTTTTGGTTCAGTCTATAATAAATAAAGATTGTAATAAAATTGTATAAAGTCAGCATTGTGTAAATGTAAAAAAGAAAATATGTGTAATGTTTGGTTTGTCATCATTTTATATATTCATGCACTTATGAGCCTACTGGACTACACAACCTTAAAATCTATGCAACAGCCCACATTGAATTTTATCAATAATCACCATGGTTGAATTTTTCAGCTAGCAAATCAGTACTGGTCACCGCAAACCAAGGAATCTCACTTACCTTATGATGCTTCTATTGTGGAGTCAATATACCATGCAGAAATCCAGGGTTCAAGGTGAATAAAAATGAAATTAATAGTTTTGCCAAAAAATCACAACACCTTAAAGCAAGTCTTAGCCTAACTGATTCAAACAAATGAGTACAAAAGGTGATTGACCTAATAGAGTGGGTTCAATGACCTATATTTTTTTTAAATATTATATGCCAGTTATAAATGATTTACTGCCTTAACACATTTTGTTAAGGTTTTGATTAAATCAAATGTTTTCTTGAGTGTGATAGAAAAAAATGCTTTTTTTCTCTGAATTTATTAACTCAATTAAAAAACTTTTTAAAGTTAGAATTTTATTGTTATGTGTTATGACTTGCTTTAAGATAGGTTTAAGATTTTTGAATCACTTCTTTTAAAAAATGATCATAATATTGTATAAGTACTTGGAAAAATTGATGTTTCTGTTTGTTGTTGTTGACAACTTAGGTAGTTGTAGTAAGGGATAATCGGTCTTACCGAGGGATGCACAATTTTTAATGTATATAAGTTAGAGTAACCACTATAACTGAAATGAATATGAAAAAAATGTTTCCATGTGTACCTTTTCAGTTTCTCAGTTCGACGCATCATGATGTTAGAGTTCTCACAATACCTCGAGAACTATCTGTGGCCGTACTATGAAGCTGGCAAGGCATCTCACTCACACATGATGTCTATAATAGTGATGATAAATGAGAAGTTCCGTGAGCGAGTTCCCGCTTGGCAGGTATGACTTAATTATATTTANTGAAAAAAATGTTTCCATGTGTACCTTTTCAGTTTCTCAGTTCGACGCATCATGATGTTAGAGTTCTCACAATACCTCGAGAACTATCTGTGGCCGTACTATGAAGCTGGCAAGGCATCTCACTCACACATGATGTCTATAATAGTGATGATAAATGAGAAGTTCCGTGAGCGAGTTCCCGCTTGGCAGGTATGACTTAATTATATTTATTTGATTGTAGTGAATGATTTGATTGTAGTGAATGATTTGATTGTAAATGTACCAGTACCTCAGAGTTATCAGTTAAGGTTGTTGTGGTTTAAAGGATAAGACGCTCGGTGCATTGCAACAGTGTTTGAACCCTGCAGGCAGATACAAATTTTTTTAATGAAATACATACTTAGCAAATGTTTTCAATCGACTCCCACAGTGAAGCAATAACATAGTGTAATAAAAACCAAACTCGCAAAATTGTAATTGCGTAATTAGTGGTGGTACGACGTCTTCGTCGTCTCGTCCACCCTCCTAGGCAATAAAAAACATCAGTTTCGAACCAAGGATGGCAGATTCCTATATAAGAGCATCTACAATTATGTTTTAAAAATTTTGAATTTATGATAATCTTTTGCAAAATACTTTATACCTAATACAGTAGATCAGGCATGTACCTCCATTCTGATTGTTAAATTAAGATTTCCACATAACCAACACTGAAACTATTAAAACTTGTAGATAACCTATTATTTGTATTCTTCATTAACATCATAAAATTTTATTTACATATCTGGTAATCATACATAGCCCGTGATATATTTTGAACAATAAATTAAATTTTAAATTATTTTTTTATTGTTTAGAATTTGCTTTACAAACGGTTTAATTTTGAATTATACTTCTATTTCATTCTTTTAGGCATTTTTAAAGCAACCGGAGCACTTTCCGGCCTTCTTTGAACAAGTCCTTCGTGCCAGTATTGCTGAAGACGACACTAGTCGTAACATGAGGGAGCAGACTGCATTACTGCTATTCCTGAATCATTGCTTCGGCAGCATGGAAGTAGAGCTCTGCAGGGATCAAGTCAAGAGGCTTGTGTCCCTTAGTATGTGGATTAGTTTACAAGAAGGTAGGTTCTCTTGACATTCATTCAATATTGATTACATGGGCATGTTTGAAGTCGTCGTGGCCTAAAGGATAAGACGTCCAGTGCATTCGTGTTGAGCGATGCACCGGTGTTCGAATCCCGTAGGCGGGTACCAATTTTTCTAATGAAATACGTACTTAACAAATGTAAACGATTGACTTCCACGGTGAAGGAATAACATCGTGTAATAAAAATCAAACCCGCAAAATTATAATTTGCGTAATTACTGGTGGTAGGACCTTTTGTGAGTCCGCACGGGTAGGAACCACCACCCTGCCTATTTCTACCGTGAAGCAGTAATGCGTATCGATTTGAAGAGTGGGGTAGTCGTTGTAACTATACTGAGAACTTAGAACTTATATTTCAAGGTGGGTGGCGCATTTACGTTGTAGATGTCTATGGGCTCCAATAACCACTTAACACCAGGTGGGCTGTGAGCTCGCCCAACCATCTAAGGAATAAAAAAAAAGTATTTGTCCAAATTATTACCAGGTTTTTTTAAAGCATATCGAGAGGCTTTAAGCGACGTTTTTGAAACATTATAAAAGAAGCCATTTAAAGTTTAAAATTTGGAAGAAATAACATGAAAAAAACAACTTCTGCAGCAATTTGAATGGTCTAAACATAATTGAAGTCGATAAAAATACATCGAATTGTTGATGCTAATACTAAATAAAACGATCCTTTAATTACAAAGATAATTGTCGCTTAATCCAAATATCTTTTCACCCCTCGATATGTCCAGCTGTGCTGAATTAAGTTTAAAAGAATTTTACTTGCAGCTGTAACGAATGCTCGTAGAGAGATCTTCAGCCAATAAAAAGAAAATTTCTTCACCTAACTAGCTTGTTAACTAAATATATCTCACAATAATACTAACCAATTGTGTACTAAATAATAATTGTATTTTAATATTAATTGAAATTTACTACTTTATTTCTTTAATATGAAGGAAGTGGCAGTGGATGTGTGACCACTTTTCACTTGTCTCTATACTTTATTTTTTGTAGTAGATGTTTTAACTAATTCAACTACTTCTTGATTCTTTATTATTATTTTATCGCAGGCAGAAGAAATCAGGAATTCAAAGCGGTACCAAAGTGGCGTAAATATTGGAGAGCCATACAGAAAAAGGACAAGCCAGAGTTATTGGAAAAATTGAACTGGGAACGAAGATATTTGCAAAGACTGATGATCAAGTTTATGGGTATCCTAGAGAAGATACCCGAAAACGGGGAAATTGATTCGTATGTTGTGAGGTAAATGGAATACATATATTATTGATAAGCTACAATATTATGAGGCAGACGAATGAGACAGAGAGATGTACTATTAATATCTGAAAGGAATTTACGAATGGAGAAAAAACATGTTCATGAGGGCTAGCCTATATTCTTGAAGGTAGAAAAAGTACAGTATATTCGATGGATGGACGAGAATGGCGCTAAATATCAGTCATTTTTTTTTTTTTAATTAGGTCTTTACAAGTGTTAAAATTATGATTTTAACACTGATTCCGTATGCAGCTTAGAACTCGACGAAACGGCTAGAAACGCAGGGTCCTTTTTAAAATAACTCAAAATAAATTACAAAGTTTCTAATTTGAAGTTTTTTTTTTGTTTTTATTGCATAGACGGGTGGACGAGCTCACAGCCAACCTGGTGTTAAGTGGTTACTGGAGCCAGTAGACGTCAACAACGTAAATGCTGCCACCCACCTTGAGATATGAGTTTTAAGGTCTCAGTATAGTTACAGCGGTTGCTCCGCCCTTCAAAGCAAAACGCATTACTGCTTCACGGCAGGGTACCTACCCGTGCGGACTCATAAGAGGTCCTACCACCAGTAATTACGCAAATTATAATTTTGCGGGTTTTATTTTTATTATACGATGTTATTCATTCACCGTGGAAGGAATCGTGAACATTTGTTAAGTACATATTTCATTACAAAAAATGGTGGGATTCGAACACCGGTGCATCGCTCAACACGAAATGCACCGAACTCTTATCCTTTAGGTCACAACGACTGCAAAAGCTTCTGCTTTCAGCATAACTCACACTATCTTTGACCCTTTGTTACTAAGACAATTTTATTGTTTTACTTCTCCAGCGACATTAATAATGCCAAGCTATCCGTTACAATCTCATAGGGAACCGTATGGTCTAATCTGTGGCAGGACTTATTAATAAACGAAAATACGTTTTTTTATACATATTGCTTATTCTCATGGGAGTATGACCCAGTTTCATTAATCTATATATATAAAAATAAAATTGGTGTGTCTGTTTGTAATATTGAAATAGTCGCTTTTTACTACATGCATATGAATATATATATACGGTACATACACCAAAATAACATTTTTTACAATTTTTGTCTGTCTGTTTGTTTCGGCTAATCTCTGGAACGGCTGGACCGATTTTGATGAGACTTTCACTAATGGGTAGCTGATGATATAAGGAGTAACTTAGGCTACTTTTTTTAAACTAGCTTCGCCTCGCAGCTATCGTACCGCGCGCAACATGGCGGGCTTCCCCTATCAATAATAAAATTTAATGTTTCCGAAGCGAAACGAGGGCGGGTCGCTAGTCAACAATATAATGAGTACGTATTCGGTACAACAGGTACTGCGAACGTTTCCTGGAATTGATGATAGACCTGGAAGCTTTACTGCCGACGCGCCGTTTCTTCAACACGGTGATGGACGACTGTCATCTCGTGGTGCGCTGTCAGATGTCAGCACTCGCCCAGAGACCAGAGGGGCAACTCTTTACACAAGTAAGTAATGCAATATTTAATTGAATATGCAATTTCGAAAAGGGCACATGTCGCATATTTTGTCAAATACGTTTTTTCATATACATGTAGTTTTGAGGCTTACCTACACCCGTTTTATAATAATTCCAGTAATTTCCAACTGCTAATTAACACTAAAATATATCTCAAAAGTTAATATTCTAAATTTTACACTGTTTTAGAAAATAATCAGTTTTTTTCATTTCCTGAACATTTTACATTTTCAGAGATGTGCCCTTTTCGAAATTGCATATTCAAAAGGTGTATACTTAGTCAAGCCATAAATACTGTTACAATTAAAAATAAACACAATATTACATTTGAATTTGGAATCTGTCATTTTTATATGATTGCTCATTGAGTTTTCTCATTTTGGCGCCAATACATTGTACAATATTTTGCGATATTAAAATGGAGTGGGGTGATAAAGAGAACCGAATCGCTGTGATTGCATTACACAAAGTAGGTATGGAGCCAAATGCAATTTTTAAAACTCTCCATACGCTTNTTTTATATGATTGCTCATTGAGTTTTCTCATTTTGGCGCCAATACATTGTACAATATTTTGCGATATTAAAATGGAGTGGGGTGATAAAGAGAACCGAATCGCTGTGATTGCATTACACAAAGTAGGTATGGAGCCAAATGCAATTTTTAAAACTCTCCATACGCTTGGTATTAGTAAAATGTTTGTGTACCGGGCTATTAATAGGTGTAATGAGACCTCCTCTGTTTGTGACAGAAAAAGATCTGGCCGTCCACGTAGTGTTCGTACGAAAAAGGTGGTCAAAGCAGTAAGGGAAAAAATTTGAAGAAATCCTGTCCGAAAGCAAAAGATTTTATCTCGGGAGATCAAGATAGCACCTAGAACCATGTCGCGTATTTTAAAATATGACTTAGGACTTGCAGCCTATAAGAGACGTACTGGTCATTTCTTAACTAATAATTTAAAAGAGAATAGGGTGGTAAAATCGAAACAACTACTGAAGCGGTACGCAAAGATTTTGAAAACGGTTTTTTTTTTACGGATGAGAATATTTTTACAATTGAGCAACATTTTAACAAACAAAATGACCGTATTTATGCTCAAAGCCCTAAGGAAGCGTCTCAATTAGTCGACAGAGTGCAATGTGGGCACTATCCGACTTGGTTTGGTGGGGTATTAGCTATGAAGGAGTGACTGAGCCATACTTTTGTGAAAAAGGTATCAAAACTTCGGCACAAGTGTATCAAGATACCATTCTTGAGAAGGTAGTGAAGCCCCTTAACAACACCATGTTCAATAATCAAGAATGGTCCTTCCAGCAAGACTCGGCGCCAGGTCATAAAGCTCGGTCTACGCAGTCTTGGTTGGAAACGAATGTTTCGGACTTCATCAGAGCTGAAGACTGGCCGTCGTCTAGTCCCGATCTTAATCCGCTGGATTATGATTTATGGTCAGTTTTAGAGAGTACGGCTTGCTCTAAACGCCATGATAATTTGGAGTCCCTAAAACAATCCGTGCGATTGGCAGTGAAAAATTTTTCCATGGAAAGAGTGCGTACTTCTATTGATAACTGGCCTCAACGTTTAAAGAACTGTATTGCAGCCAATGAAGACCACTTCGAATATTTTTATACTTTAAATTGTTTTATATTTACGTATTAAACTAACACACTGTAAAAGTAATAAATGTTATTTGCAATAGAATTTTTTGTTTTTACCTTTATCTCAGTATTTATGGCAAGACTAGGTATAAAAGGTAATTTGTTTTACTGTGAAAGTGAATGCCTTCTGAAGTGTAATAAAAACAATATGTGTGTAATTATAATCTTTATTCGATATATTTATCGATAGAGTTAAAAAAAAAGTAATATAATTAAATGACTGATATAAACATGTCAGAATAATAAAAAGAAAGTCTCAAAAATAAAACGTTAATGAAGAGAGCATTTATTTGTAAATTCACGAACCCCCGGTCTAGCTGCCGATTATCGAGAGGACGGATATAAAGGCACTGGTTTTTAATAATAGTGTCTTATATGATATGATATGATTACAGTCTTATATTTAATACTATTATAAAGTCTCGACTCCTAAGTTCTATTAATTTTTGGAATGTTAGCCTTATTTCAGTGACGAATACTTTCAAACTCAGCCAGCGTTTTTCCAAAAATGAAAATATGCTGAATTATGTCTGTTAAATCTTACTTATTATTAATAACCACTGGATGTTCGGCGTGAGCTAGATAAACATTTTTTTGTTTATACCTACTATTATTAAACTGTAGCTAGCGCAATATTTAAATTCAATATTAACGAAATTACATACCGTTAAAAAGTCGAATATTTTGTGCGGTTTTTTCTAATTTTGCTACTTATAAGTAGAATTACATAATATTAATTACACGAACGAGGAAGCTTAATAAAATATAATAGGAAATTTTTATTAGAAGAGAAAAATTAAGTATCTTTTGTGAGCATTAAACTTGTAAGAGATCAAAATTTCGAGTTTCAAATTGAATGTAACATAAAATAGTTATAAATCTGATTTCAGTTACACGAAAGGCACTTCTCATTATCACTACAATATAATATTTAAAATTATTCTTATCTATTCTATAAACGTGCTCCACTATGTGTGTTGTCTAGTAAATCACAGAAATCCTATAATTCAACATACACTCGTATCACGTTTGTGTTTCGTCATTAATATCGTTCGATAATTATTCGAGAACACGTCAGGGTTAGTAGTTATCGTAATTTCCGCCGTTCATATGAGTCATCTCGTCGCCCCATTCTCCCGTCGNCAGGGTTAGTAGTTATCGTAATTTCCGCCGTTCATATGAGTCATCTCGTCGCCCCATTCTCCCGTCGGTACGGGTTCCGCGTAACAGCAGCTCTTGCGCAACAAGAACGTCACGTGCGGTTGTCGTAATATGCAAACGTAAAATATTAATATAGCTTGAAGGAGATTCACGAAAATGTGCGCGTACAGTAGTTCGTCGAAGTTGAGCCAAGACAACAGGAGGAATAGCCAAGCCGTTGTCATAATAACGAATAACTGCAAGAACAGGGTGAAGCTGAAACAAAACAGAATATTTTTATTATTTAAATCTCTTAAATGACAATTGCGTGTAAATGAAATAATTATAAATCAATAGGCGGTTTATAATTATTTCATTTATATATAATAATTATAAATCGTCTATTGATTTATAATTATTTCATCTACACCGGACTACTTAGCCCCAAAGTAAAATTTGAAAAAAGAAAACTGTAAATGCGCGCGTAAATATGCGTTTAATAAAAGTTTACAATATTCATTAAATTTTAATTTTAACTAATTTTAATAAAAGTAAAAAAATTATCTGACTCTTTTTGATTCGATATCAAAATACAGAAAAGGTGTTAGTTAGGTAACAACATTACAAACTTACCATAGAGTAAAACAATTCATTAAGTATCTTTCATACATACCCAACTATGTCTTTGTGTCAATGTTAAATAACTAAAAAGTAAATTAAAATATGTCCTTAAATAAAATAATAAATTACATACCATCCCTTGAGTTTGTAGTGGATTCTTCCATAAATGTTGATTCTTTTAATTATCTTCAATGTTGTAATATAGAAGAACATATTAAACAGTATTGTGAATGCCACCGGTGTAAAAAATATAGCAATCCCGAGTAATCCTGAAATACAGTGAAACTACTGATCATAAATACAGTAAAGACTTTTGGCTTTTAGTAATTTTTTGATATTGTCAAATCTATTTATTGTCAAAGCACTGTGGTAGAACGTTTAAAGCTAGAGCATTTGGGTTTCTTTAGATGTCGGTTATATTCTCTTGAGTACTTAATACGATACATTCATGTAAATGAATTTGTGTATTAGTAACCATTCGACTAAATCATGGCTTTTTGGAAATAAAGCCTAATTTAAATAGCAAAATACAAATACAATACCTATGGTTTCCTGTTCCGCATCATCAACATATATTGATGATGAGGACTGCATAGTTTTTCGATCAGTGTTCGTTCCTATATCAAGGAGGAAANTGAGTACTTAATACGATACATTCATGTAAATGAATTTGTGTATTAGTAACCATTCGACTAAATCATGGCTTTTTGGAAATAAAGCCTAATTTAAATAGCAAAATACAAATACAATACCTATGGTTTCCTGTTCCGCATCATCAACATATATTGATGATGAGGACTGCATAGTTTTTCGATCAGTGTTCGTTCCTATATCAAGGAGGAAATGTGCGCACATAGCCATTGCGGTCATTACTGCCACACACAACCAGACAACACTTGAATAGTAGCAATATTTGCGCACGTCGGTTACGCGTAGAAATACATTTCTTGATCTGAAATAATATAATAAGAAGTAATATTTCTTCACACTTTTTACAATATGTAGAAGGATATGCAATAACAATATTTCATACTTGAATGTTTTCCATATGTAGAAACCGAAGCTATTCAACCAGAAGAATGCAGCAAGTAGGCTTATGTATAAAACAATATCTGCAATTAAAAAAATATATTTACAAACAAAGGTTACCTTCCGGTTCTGAAGATTGTTCTAAATAATATTTAAAAAAAATGTATTCACCTGTGATCATGAAACTGATGTGGTTACTAAATTCTGTAAATATCCTAACCAAACCAGCAGCTTGGCTGATAATCAGACACAGATTTATAGTTGTTATCATATTCCCAGACAGGTCTCTCAGAGTCGGCAAAACAAAGTATATGATCGCCACAATAAGATATATGATAATAGCAATGGCATGAAATGCTGGATTCATAACTCTTTTCATAAGAAAACTGAAATATTTCCAATTTGCTTTTACATCAGGTATGCATACATGTGCATAAAGCCCAAGTACGGTAGTGTTTTCCTTGTTCATTGATATCTAAAAAAAAGTTGAGATTAGAATTAACATCATAATAGAAAAAATACTACAACACATGGTGAAAATGGGA